TTATGAATATATGAATTTTGGTGTATAAGTTCATATATTAACTCCAGTGATATGAATTTTTATATATTAACTTTAGTGAGAAGAGATGGCTGGATGTCTCCCTGAACCGATTGTCCCGGGTTAGGGCCATTGTATTGCTTGGGGATTCGAACCAAGGTTGCCGGATGTACCGTTCAATCATCATAGGCATAGTAAGCAACGATATATGTTTTAATACATTAATATGTCTTAAATATGTTTGTACACAATATATTTTTCTGATATGTATATATATGTGTTTCTTTAATGTACCGTAAGTAATTGACCCAATCATTTGGCTTGAAGAGACACTTTCATATTTCAGGGTTGAGAGAGTGGATGTTGGGAGCTTTGATGTAGATAATGGTTGATTGGTCCAATCTCAAATTGGCTTTTCCATCGCCGCTAGGAGGGGTACAGGTGTTGTACAAATCTCAGAGGTGGAAGTAAAGGCACCTGAGAAGAAAGTTGCAATTATATATACTGTCAAATCATGTTTGAATAAGCTTGTGAATATTGGGTACACCCTGCCTACACTATCCTCCATGATGATACAAGCAATAGATGCGGGCTCGTATCATGATGTTGCGGGCTTCTGTGCAAGGATTGCTCGAACCAACCGAAATGATGTGGTAAAGTCGAAGTCGAACTCATAGCTTATATTCAGATTTGTTGTTATTCGAAAGCTTTGTTCTCATATCCATTTTTTGTGCCAATAATTATAGGTTGAGGACTATGACTTAACCTATGCAGGTTGTAGCTTTGAAGCCATTCTCAACCAGACAATGTATGCATTGGGTTTTGATTGGAAATATGCCGATGAATATCCAACACTCACTACGGAAGGATTTCAGGAAAAGCTGATTATGACTAAGAGGGCATCAACTGGCCCACCAACTTCTGGACCACCGCTTACCGTCGTTAGTAGACCCTGTGCTTGTACTTTTGAAGCAAGGGAGAGTGCACTACTTAATGCGTTGCTCTACGTCAATAATATTTGTGGATACAAAATCGGTGACCTACATTTCGCCTAGTACATAATACGACGTAGTCAAACTTGGCGGTGATGTACTTGTGCTTGCATGAACTTGGTGTGTAATTGAACTTTGGGGTTGGACATCTAGTTTATTGTAATGACTTGTTTTAAATTATTATGGTTTGTATGAACTTGTTGAATGGGGATGATCATTGTAATATATAAGCTCTTAATTAGTTCCATTCTTATTTATGGATGACGTACAATAGTATAGCATCTAATACGTGTACGAAAACTATTTGAAACAGAAATAAATTGAATGGAAAGAAATTGCATAAGAAAAGAAAACAAAAGGAGTAATATTTAGTCCCGATTGGTTATACCAACCGGGTCTAGAGGTGCCCGCCCATTTAATCCTGGTTAACAGACTCAGGACTAAAGGGCGGGCCTTTAGTCTCGGATTGGCTGTCCCGGTTGGGAAACCGGGACTAGAGGGGGTTTTCCAACCGGATTGCTACCCAGTCCTAGACTAGTGGGAAGAATACTAGCATAGTATAATGCAAGTTACCCAGGCAAGCCCCGGTGCATAACAATCGTTGCTATGCATTAAGTTGCTTGAAGCCCACCTGCATAAATATTTTATCCCATGAGTGCTACTAGCATAATAGGGATCGTGTAGTATGATATGCTATATATCGGACGTACTATAATTGAGTGATGGACTCACTTGTGAGAGATAGGTCCTGGTTATACTTCTATTGCTATCACATGGTTTTAGACATGGGTAATAATTGGAGACTAGACAGGACTGGGGACTTTGGATGTAGACATGGTTGGGCAACTGAGCGAGGCTTTGGTTGCATTAGTCTCACCTGTGTCGATTAAGGACCATACTGTTAGTAGCACTGTGGCAATTTTGAAGGTACCGAACATATAATAGGGGGCCTGAGTTATAGTTGTTTGTGAAGCTGAGTACATTCCTAAGACTTAGGGTCATAAACAGTTTATTGGAGTGTTTCTCTGGCCATTCGAGGTGTTGTTAGGAGGCATGGAATGTCCATCGTAAAACTTAGGGGGGAACACTACTACATAACTGGTAATCAAACCGGCGGTGATACTTATCACCGCCGGTTCGTATTACGAACCGTTGGTGAAAATTTGGACGATTATCACCGTAGGCTTGTAACATGAACCGGTGGTGATAACCTATCATTACAACCGGTTTGTGTTACCAACCGGTAGTGATAGTCGACCCATTTTAACAGCCGGTTTGTGGTACCAGCCGGGGAGGAAAATCATTTCACTAACGGTTCGTAATACGAACCGATGGTGATGATTTATTCTGCAGCACAATAAAATTCATAACTTTCTCAAACAAAGTTGGATGAAAACAATCTTTATGTAGTTGATGTCATTTTTATTTAAAATTGTTTATAGTCCCATAATTCTGTTTGAAGCTCTTATATTTTAAAATTCATTTTTTTGAATTATACAAACAACCTCAGATGAAAAAATGATCAAAAGAAAAGTTATAGATCTACAATTTTGCAGTTGACAACTTTTTCATTAGAAATCATTTACACACGGTCTTAAATTTGTATCTAAAGTTCTAAAATTTTGAAATTCAAATTTTGCAAATGACCTCGGATGGAAAATCGACCAAAACCAAGGTTGTAGATCTCGATAAGAACTATAACTTTGTAGATGATGACTTTTTCATTTGAAATCATTTGATGTCCCAACAGTATGGCTAAAGTTTGGACGATTTGAAATTCAAATTTGTCAAATGACCTCGAATGGTGAAACCACCAACATCAAAGTTGTAGATCTTGATCAGAACAACAACTTTGTAGTTGATGACTTTTTTATCTGAAGTCATTTAGGGTTGTAAATAATCATTTTAAAATCCTGAGAAGTTAGTATTAAAGGAATATACATGCTGTATGGACACACGTGACTTATGTGCGGAGTGGTTAGAGCAGCTACGTGAGAGGGCACAGGTCTCAGGTTCGAATTCCAGCACTGCGTAGCGCGCGAAAAATTGCGTGACTTGTGACTATACGCGATCGTGCGGCTGGCTGGTGGGGCCTTCCCGATATTAAATCAATTTTTTTGCTATTTTTTACCCGATTTTGGAATTTCTAAAAATCCCTATCACCACCGGCTGGTAACATGAACCAGTGGTGATAACTTTTCATCACTGCCGGTTAGGAAACCAGCTGTAATAACAATGGGCATCACCGCCGACTTTCACTGCTGAGAGCCAAAACCATTGGTGAAGGGGGGGTCTGGAGCCGGCGGTGAATACCTGTTCTGTAGTAGTGGAAACGCATCTAGGATGACCTCTACAGTAGGTTACCAGGGTGGTCATGTCACCTTCTGACCTGAGTTGTACGTTGGGAACAACTTCCTCATATAGACACTTTTGAGGAGTAGAGGGGTGTGTTCGAATTGCCTAGCTAGATGTACATCGATTGCAATTGCCGCCCTCCCCAGATATGGATACCACTTGTGTGACTACTTCTATCGTAGTTAATACCACCTGAACATGGAGATGATGCTGATGAGGCTACAACCGGATCATGAAATATACTATGATTGCTTCCCACATGGTTGAATGTAGTATAGGTGCTTACCTAGAATGGTTAAGCTAATGAACTAAACCTAACTTCTAAAACTTTGAATATAAGGACGCACCATGAGTAAGCTTCTTTGCAAAAACCACTAAACAACTAGCCAGAAAGCCCCATACATATCCTTGAGAGTCGGGATACTACTCCCACCTAGTCGGGTAAGCCTTGCTAAGTACAATATGTACTCAGGGTTTTATTTCCACCCTATTGCAGATAGCAAGTGGGTGTTGGAGCTAACTGCTGCTGTGTGTGGATACCTTCTGGTGGTCTTAGCGAGGTCTACATCGTCACCGTGATCGTAGAATTATATTTCTTGCATCCCAACCTCTACTTTAATACTCAATATGTTTAACTTCCACCACATTTGTATAAAATGATCTTTCTTTCGCTGCTTTATAAAACTTGTCATGTAAATACTATGATTTTGTAACTATGTTATGTAGGAAATGGTTAAGAATGTTGTAAGCTTTATTCACTTATTTATGATCGTTATGAAAATGTGAATTTTCGAGTTCTTCCTTTGAATGTGCTAGACATACTACTGAATTTAACTTGGTCTCTTATGTGCTTAGTGTCAAATGGCTGACAAGTACTTGAGATTAGGTTAAATTGGGCGGTTCTGCCACAACACCCCTCATGTCACATCTTCAAATACCGGTGAACCAGCCTCCCTAAAGTTCACTTTATATGCAGTCCCTAATCACGAGAACCTTACCCCCGCATGCTTAAATCTCGAGGAGGAGGACAACCTACCTCATGAGACACCGATGGTTTAGATTTGGAGTGCACGGGTTAGACGTGGGGGTTGTTGTTAGAGGGGGAGCGAGAAAACCGTGTTGCAAGATATTATTGATAGGAAGAGAGGGCCATAGGATTTGTTTTGTTCCTATCCGACAGCCGCAGAGGTGTGCAGGCATGACAACTATCACATGTATATTTGGTAAGTAGCATTTACAAAAAGATCACAATATAAACTCATACAGTTCAACGATTAATTTGGCAATCAAGTCCATATAATTAATAAACATATTATAATTCACAGATATAAAATATATAGGTTCACGATAATATTGTACCAAACTCCAATCTGATTCTTACAATGCAACCAGCATCAGCACAGCCAAGTAGATGTTACATATCGAGGTATGAATACCATAATGCCCTAGATTACTAAGACCAAACACACATATACCACACATTCAATGATACAGTACATATATACTAGTACATGCATACACACATAGCTTATCGACTAGTTATTATGGAAATATACAAACCATGTATTATTTCACAAAATGCAATCACCGCCGCGCTAGTTAAGACCATCGCCTTTTCGTCTTCTCCAGCACACCTACCCTTCCGCCTCCTCAGCTATGGCGGCGCCGAGCTGGATCCGGCTCCGGCAGCCGCGTGCAACCCTCCTCATCCTGCTGCTCCTCGCCCTCACCATCTCCCTCTCCTTTGCCGCCAACTTCGAGGGCTTTGACTACAACGATCTTCCCTCCGCGGCCGGTGGCCTCGATGCTAACGATGACGAGGAGGGGCTCGACGGCGTTGACCTCCCGCCCCCTCCGCTCATCTCCCTCTCCACCTCCGCGCCTTCACCTCCCGTCATGACGACATCTGCGGCGAACCCCTAACCCTTATGTGAATTCATGTCTTTGCCTCCATCCTCCATGTTCACTTCTTCAGTACTTCCATATGCCATCCATCTTGGTGGTGGTACTTCCATATGCCATCCACCTTGGTGGCGGTCGTGGACCATGGGCCAGCCACAGACAGCATCAACTAGATCTTAGTGGCATTAGCCTGCTCGTCCTTCTGCGACACCATCAAGGATGACCTACTCTCTGGTGCAGCAACATCAAAGCCGCTAGTGCCAGCTGCTCCATGTCCATCTGGCTAACTGCTCCCATGCCCATATGGCTTGCTGCTCCCATGCCCATATGGCTAGCTACTACCCCATGCCCATCTAGTCGTAGACGTTTGTCTGGCGTGACGTGGCTATCGGATTGCTGAACAGGGCATCATTGATCTGGAGGCCACCGGCGCCACCGATACCTGCCATAGGCAGCATCATGGGCGGCATATCTGCACCGGCGTCTAGAAAGTAGGGGTCCATCGGGTCCATGGGAAAGTCTGGTAGGATGGGAAATTGCTTTGGCATGGGCACTGGCAGTGGCAGCTGTAGCGGCATCGGGATGGGGATGGCCAGGATGTTGTTCTGATTCTGATCAATCTCAGTGCTAGCCATGGCCACCTTGTACACTGGTGTAGTTGTCTTCTTGATCCTCGTGGTCTCGTCGAACACACGACAAACCACCCACTCATCCTACGCGAATTTCATTTGTAAACTGGGAGCTAAATCAAATTAGGGTAAGCAAATAAAGCAAGTAGCATATTGAAACATGCATCATGCGGGCGCTGTTACCACTACCACACACCTTGGAAGCTGAGGATGAAGCTTTCATGGTTGCGGTGTTCTGGCTGAGCTGGATGCAGATGCGGGGTTGGGGAGCCTGCCGCTGCCTTCGAGCTGTACTCGTGCATCACGCAGTTCGTTTTCTCGCCCCTAGGAGCCCTACCCTTGTAGAAGACGAGCATCTTCTTCATGCCAACAAGCAGCACCACCCCTTCTGTGGTATTGTAGACCACCTTGTCCTTGCCTGTTGCTTTCCAGTAACCGGCCTCTGTTGCCCGGTTCGCCCTCAGTCCTGTCGGGTACTTGCAGTCCTTCTAGTAGAAGAAGTACCACTCTTTCTGGCCCATTTTTGCCTTCCCTGCAACATGCGAACAAATCAAGCACCATATATTAGTCCACATCTTAATCACTAGCATAACAGCATGCATCCACTGCTCAGATCAAACAAGACCAAGGCGTATATGTATGTACAGATCGAGGCTGCATGTTACATACACGGGAGGTCCCATGGCTCAGTCTTGTTTAGGTCGACGTCTGCGATGGCGATGCTGGTGAAGTGCTTGTTGCGCACCTTGTTCATGAGGCAGGAGATAACAATCTCATCGTCACTCGGGTGGAAGCCGAACTCCGGAGGCAAGCTGAGGCCTCCACCGCTGCCAGCAGCGTTCATCACCTGCTGTTGCGGCTGTTGCTGGTCCGCCATGGTTCTCTTGCTCCGTAACTGAGATCATCAGATCCAGGAAACACCAACAAACAATCATTTCAAGCAACACGGAATAAACTGAGATAGTACTGAAAAACAAAGCATACATACATGCACAAACTCAATCTTCTCGACCTGCCGGTCAGTCTAGGTCTCTCGCTCACCAAGCCAGATGCAGGACAAGTTGTTCGATCTATTACAGTGAGCCGAGCACTGCAGCGCGACTTAAATAGACAGGTGGCGTGTTTGCGCAAGCCACTTTTCCCTGCCCGAGCTCCCCTCTTTTTTGGTGGTGTCTGTTTCTACTGGGCATTGTTGGACTCTTGTTCTTTCCAACTATGTCATGCTTGTCCTCGTGCACCTAGGTTCGCTTTCGCGCCGGGTCCTCAGCTACTGCTGGCGATGGGTGCCTGGGTCCTAGAATGTCTCGACCTGTGTGCAGTGTGCAGCTTGCTGTGACCCGCCACCGGTTTGCCTGCCCTGCCCTGTGATTCCTATAGATGTATGTGTCTGCGTGCCGCTCATGCATGTAGGCCCGCTCCAGCCGTCGTCTCGTCTGCATGGAGAAGAGGGCTGCACGGCTGGAGATGTGCGCGCGTCAGCGACCGAGGGCTGTTACAGCTCCGCCAAAATGGGCTCTAGTCCCATAATTTTTTACGCCCAAGACTAGAGATACCTTTAGTTCCGGTTGGTGGCTTTAACCGGGACTAAAGGTCTCTGCCCAACGGCTACTGCGCCAGACAGAGGTGGCAGGGACCTTTAGTCCCGGTTGGAGCCACCAACCGGGACTAAAGGTAGACTTTTACTCGGTTGGTGGCTCCAACCGGGAGTAAAGGTCCCCACCACCTCTGTCTGTCTTGTGTAAAGAGTTGTTAGGCGTGGACCTTTAGTCCCGTTGGATCCACCAACTGGGACTAAAGGTCCCCCCTTTATATCCCGGTCGTCTCCTTCTTCCTCCCCGAGCCCGAGCTCAGCACATTTTGAAGCTCACTGCACTAGTGTTCTTGCTTCCTCCCTCCATTGTTCCTCCATCCATTCTTCGATTCCTCCGTTGATTCTTCAGTTGTAAAGGTTACCAATCTTATACTCTCAATTTTTCACCATTGTCTTATCTCATTTTGTTCACTATATATATATATGGTTCTTTATTGTGGTTTTTTCATTTGTAAGCAATTTGAGCTCAAAATCACTTCAAGCTTGCATATTTACATGAACGAATGTTAAAGTAGCTAGTTGAACTTGCGGACCGTGTTCATCTCGGCGAGCATGTTCTCTGCCGAGCGGTAACGGATGTCAAGGAGGAGCTTTGATTCTACGAGGGAGAGCGGCAATGGTCGTGGAAGACCGTGTTCCCTTCCTCGTAGAATCGGAGCTCTTCCGTGGCCAAGTACGGTGCCGTCCGGTGGAGAAATGCTCGCCGAGATGATCACGTAAGTAAGGTCAACTAGTACGGATGGTTATTTATTCACACGTCCCGATATCGTCGCAGTAGTCTGTCAATCACCGTACCCAAACGTAGTATATATATAAATATAAACGATAATCGATTGTTATGTGTGTACACTCCCATTCTTCTATTAATTTGTGGAAATATCATGTGAATTACTTACCTACCACAGTAAAAGACGAGAACACAATGACCATGGCCACAGCCATGAAAAATGCCAACGACACAACACTAGCAACTTTCTCGGCAAGCAGAGTAGTGTTAAACGCTCTGGAAACCTTTAAACTTTAAGCTTGCATATTTACATGAAGGAAGGTTAAACTAGCTATTAAAAACTAGTATTCACCGTTCATTTGTAGCATGCATAGCACACTTCATTATTTAGAGATATAGAGAATTTTAGAGTTTTTTTAATTTTATTTGTTTATAAAATAAGAAATTTATAGTGTATTAAAAAATGAGTATAAAGAGTAGATAACAACTGCTTCCGGGTTCTCGGCCTCTCATGGGTTTCCAAAGCGACTTAGGCCGGGCCTCCCACTCATTGCATGCGACAAGTGTTGTGATGAGACGAAGATTGTGATGGAGTACCGAGTGAAAAAGGACGGTCCCAACAAGGGTCGCATTTTCTATAAGTGTCCGGATCGCAATATGAGTTATTTTATCGTATTTAATGACTATGGTTAGTTTATACCTATTTTCATGATGGTTGTGATTAAAGTTCTAATTTTCTATTTTAATTTTAGTGGGATGGCACTGGATGTTCAGGCTTCTACTGGGAGGAAGAGTATGTTGAACTCGTGCAAAAATATCTTGCACAACAGGCAGATATGGCGGCTAATGAGGCAGTAATCCAGCCGAAGAAGCCCAAAGATGTTGAACAAACAGAGGATCTATCTGTTTTAGTTGGGATTGGTCACGAAATCCTTGTGCTGCTGAAGTGCATTTTAGCTTTAGTGTTTTTAGTGGTAGTTGGGATTGTCTACATTGTAGCGAGGATTTCTTAAATTTATAGCTTTTGTGGTGGTATGCATGTTGTATAATTAACTAATTATGTTCTAGGTTTTAATACGGTATTTATGTCATGTAATGCAGATGAGTCGGCATTGGATGTACAATGCTGATCGTCGCTCCCAAGAGTTCATGGGCGGCGTGCATTCTTTGTTACGTGCGGCCGAGGCAAACAAACGCGATGGTTTCATGTGCTGCCCATGTGTCGTATGTAAGAATACGGTGGAATATCCTTGCTCAAGGACTCTTCATTCACACTTGTTCAAGTCGGGTTTCATGCCAAACTATATTTGTTGGACGAAGCACGGAGAAACCGACGTTGTAATGGAAGAAGGTGAAGAAGAACAATGGGATGACAATGATATTATTCCCGATGGTGCGTGCTTCAATGATACTGCAATAGGAGAAGCTGAAGAAGAGGTAGCCGCAGAAGATGAGTCTACTGATGATCTTTGTCAGGTCATTCGTGACGCACAAAGAGAATGTGAAAGTGAAAAGGAGAAGATCAAGTTCGAGCGGATGCTTGAAGATCACCAGAAATTGCTATACCCACCTTGTGATGCAGGGCAGAAAAAGTTGAGAACCACACTAGAATTGCTACAATGGAAGGCAAAGAATGGTGTATCTGACAAGGGATTTGGAGAGTTACTAAAAATCCAAAAGAAGATGCTTCCGAAGGACAATGAATTGCCCGCCACTACCTACGAAGCAAAACAAGTTGTCTGCCCTATGGGGCTAGAAATCGAGAAGATACATGCTTGTCCTAATGACTGCATCCTCTACCATGGCAAAGAGTACGAGAAATTGGATGCATGCCCGGTATGCCATGCATCGCGGTATAAGATCAGGCGAGATGACCCTGGTGATGTTGAGGGCGAATGTCCGTGGAAGAAAATCCCTGTCAAGGTTATGTGGTATGCTTCTATAATACCATGCTTGAAATGTCTGTTTAGAAACAAAGAACATGCAAAATTGTTGCGATGGCACAAAGAAGACCATAAGGTAGACAATATGTTGAGACACCCTGCTGATGGGTCCTAGTAGAGAGCAATTGACAGAGAATTCCCGGAGTTTGCAAATGACGCAAGAAACTTAAGGTTTGCTTTAAGTACAGATGGTATCAATCCTTTTGGAGAGCAGAACAGTAGTCATAGCACTTGGCCTGTTACTCTAAGTATCTACAACCTTCCTCCTTGGTTATGCATGAAGCGGAAGTTCATTATGATGCATGTGCTCATCCAAGGCCTGAAGCAACCTGACAATGACATCGATGTGTACCTGAGACCACTTATTGACGAACTTCTCATTTTGTGGAATAAATAAGGTGTACGTGTGTGGGATGAGTACAAACAGGAACACTTTGATCTACGAGCATTGTTGTTCATAACAATCAATGATTGGCCTGCTCTAAGTAATCTTTCAGGACAGTCAAACAAGGGATATAATGCATGCACACACTGCTTCGGTGATATTAGAGGTGTATTCTTGAAAAAATATCGAAAGGTCGTGTACCTTGGCCATCGTCAATTTCTTCCTGCAAATCATCCCGTAAGAAAGAAAGGCAAGCATTTTAAAGGGAAGGCAGACCACCTGACCAAGCCTCGCAACTGAACCGGTGAGGATGTACTCGATATGGTCAATGATGTGAAAGTCGTCTTTGGAAAAGGACATGGCAGCCAACCTGTTCCGAACGATGCTAACAATCACGCACCCATGTGGAAGAAGAAGTCCATATTTTGGGAGCTACCCTATTGGCAAGTCTTAGAGGTCCGCAGCTCGATCGATGTGATGCACCTAATGAAGAATCTTTGTGTGAACCTGCTAGGCTTCATGGGTGTGTATGGAAAGCCTAAGGACACATTTGAAGCACGATAGGACCTGCGTTGTTTGAGAGAAAGAGACAACCTGCATCCAGAGAAGACAAATGATGGACGCCATTACTTACGTCCTGCCAGCTACACTCTAAGCAAAGAGGAGAAGGAAATCATGTTTGAATGCTTAAACAACATCAAGGTACAATCTGGATTCTCCTCGAATATAAAGGGTATTATAAATGTCCCAGAGAAGAAATTCTGTAACTTAAAGTCCCATGACTGTCACGTTCTCATGACGCAATTACTTCCAGTTGCATTAAGAGGAATTCTACCTCCAAATGTACGTCTAGCCACCGTGAAGCTATGTGCATTCCTCAATGCAATTTCTCAGAAGGCAATTGATCCAACTGATCTAGCTAAACTACAGAATGATGTGGTTCAATGTCTCGTCAGCTTTGAGTTGGTGTTCCCTCCTTCCTTCTTTGATATCATGACACACCTCCTAGTTCACCTAGTCAAGGAGATTTTCATTCTCGGTCCTGTGTTCCTACACAACATGTTCCCCTTAGAGAGATTCATGGGAGTCCTGAAGAAATATGTTCACAACCGTGCTCGCCCAGAAGGAAGCATCGCCAAGGGCTATGGAACAGAAGAGGTCATTGAGTTCTGTGTTGACTTTATTCCCGACCTTGACTCGATTGGTGTTCCTAAATCGAGACATGAGGGGA